CCAGAAACACACACACACACAGACACACACGGACACACACACGCCCACGGCTGCTAAAGGTGTCACATGCCCGACAGCAAAAAGCGATCTGCCTTATTTTTCCATGCAGAGCTATCAGGTTAAAAACATCTGCTCCGATCTTGCGCTGAAGTTATCACAGACATGACATTGGTTCCCTTCAGGAGAGCCAGCCTCCACAAAGGCATTCTTTGTGCACGCTGGCGGCATGGGACACACACCACACCGGGAATTCTAAGTTTCCATTTTGATCACGTTGCTCAGACATGAGAATGAGTCACCCACCGTACTGAAAACCATGACCTTTGTATTTACACTGAAAAAGGAATGATGAGCTTAGGACAGGGAAAGAAAACTAGAGGGAAGGGGGAAAAAAACCAAAACCCAAACCCATGAACCACCCAAACCCACGCATATCTTTGCTCTTTGAAAAAGAGCAGCTGATGTTATTTACATGCAAGTTAAAAAAGTTGTGGCTGTGATTTGCTTTGTTTAGTGTATCTGCATGGACTCCAAAGGAATCATGTCAACAGCTCTACAGTCCCTGCAGCAGGCATATTCTGGTCACAATAAAGCAGGGCAAAGCTTTTTGCGTCCATTCATCCAGTAAAGGAACCATGTGTGATATTTTACTTAGAAATAAAGTCCATCTTTAATCTAGAGCAATCCTGCCCCTCAGCCATCCTCAGCAACACACAATTATCTGGCAAGGGAAAAAAAGTGGTGGTGTGGAAGAGTTGTTACTGTCAAAGTAACCAAAACATGAAGATCCAAAAGGAAACAAGACTTACAAGAGTTTTAAAAATTATTAATAGGACAGAATTCTTGAGTGTGTTTTTCCATCTCCTCCTAAGTAAGAACAAAAAACACTAATCTGATTTCTAGTATTTTTTATCAACAAACCACCAGCTGTAGAATTTCCTACAGAGCAGACAGAAGTGTAGTGCAGTGGATCCAAATGGGACCTGTGAAAGAATACGACTTTGAAGAGAACAGACTCAAAGGGTATCAATATTTAAATATAGTAGGCCAGCCTGACTGAGAAAACCCAAGCATTTAAGTGGATTTATTTTTTTATTCCTCTGCCATACTTGGAGCATCCCTTCAGACAAAGGAGACAAAATCCTGGCAATGATTGTTTTGTGTAAGTAAAGCCAATGAACTGGACAGGTGTCTAATGTATCCCTGAAGTGTGGCCCATCCAGCAGACAGGTTGGATCTATGGGGTGTGGATGAAAAGAATAGGGGTTGCAGAAAACATTTATGAGCAGCTTGCTGAGACAGTCATTAGAGCTACTTGCATCCATCTCACTCTCCAGTACATTCAAAGAGTGTTCTCAGAAGAAAATTTGGCCGTGCACCAGTGGACAGCTGCATTTTTAAGTGGAAACCCCTGTTAAATTAAAATTTTCTGTGTTATAGCATGAGCTCTACCATCTGTTGTCTAGCTCATTTATGACCAGCAAAGCTTGCAAAAAAAACGACAAAGAACTGAAATGATGCAAAAGGCAAATGTCCCTGGGGAAACTGTTTTGTATTTCCCACAGAGAGCAAGAACTTTTGTGCTTGAGTGGTACCTACAACACTAACAGGGAGATAAATGAATGTTAGAACTGAACAAAACCAGAGAGAATAAAGAAAGTAAGCCGCTTCCTAAGGATATGTAATTGAGAACTGTAATGGCAGGCCTGCATGCTAAAAATCACCTTCTAGATACTCATTTGAGGTGCTTCAAATAACTGAGATTTCGTATAAATAGCCTTCCATTATAACCCAGTGATGATCAATAGGAACAGCCTATTGATGCAGTGGTTTCTGCATTTGAAATGGTTTGTCCTCATGTGCTGCTTATGCCAAATTTCAGTTGATTTTGTATTCACTGATTTATTTTCAAGAGAGACATACACAGGCCTGATTTCATCTGACGGAAGCCCTGGATGAGTTGCCAGCTGCTTCTTCCCCTGCAGGACAGAGGAGACTGAGGTCTCATCGGATAACAACTGATACTGGACACTGGACATGACCAAGCCTCCAGGATGCTGCTGGCCATGATGCCATTTCCAAAAGAAGCAAGTTGCTGTCTTCCCCCAACATCTCTACATGGCAGTGGGAAGAAGGAACACATCTTTACGAGCTTCAGCCCTTGCCTCTCACCCTCCCCTTTTTACAGGTGGGAAATTTCAAGGCCCATTTTCAGGTACAAGATAAAGTTTGCTGACCTGTAACCAGACAAAGGCACAACAGTGGGACATTTGGTGAATTGTTAGGTTTTTCTCTCATTTTAGAAACCAGCTAAGGAAATGGCAGCAGCTTCTAAGCTTTTGAGAAAAACAGAAAAGGTGGACGAGAAGGACGTAAAAGAGTGATTTGAGGACATGGGCAAGGGGACAGATCAGCTGGGTGTCTTTCGGTCAAAATCAGAGGAGTTACCATAAAGGAAGTGCTTGTGGTAGCTGTCTGCTATGGAAGACCTGATGTGGAAACAGATAAAATCTTCTTCAAATAACTGAAGACTGGCAGTGGCAGCCTTGGCTGCACTGATAAGATTATCCTAAGGAGTGTGAAGAAGGTAAGTAACAGAGTAAAACCCCAGACCTTCTTAAGAGCAGAGTTCATCTTGCTGAGGGAGCTGTCAGGAGGTATCCCAGAAGTCTGCCTTGAAAGCCAAAGGTGTTGAGGATCACTGGGAGACTTTCAGACAGCATCCTCCAAGCACAAGAGCAGTTCATCCACTTAAGCAAGCACAGCAAGAAACCAGCCTGGTTAAACAGTGAGAAACTGAAAGAACTCAGATGCAAAAAAAGGAACATGAGAGTGATGGAAAAAGGAACAGGCTTCCAAAGCAGAATATAAAAATACCACTCAGGCATGCAGAGATGCAGAGGGAAAGGTTAAAGTCCAGCCATAGCCTGAGCTGGCAAAAGATGTCAAGAATAGCACGAAAGTACCAACTCCTGTACTGTGTGTTAGCAAGCAGGACAAGGAAAAGGTAGGCCCACTGTTGAGTGGGGTTGGCCAGTTATTTACAAATGACAGAGAGAGACCTGAAGATTCCTTTATGCCTTCTTTGCCTAGATCTTCAAGAGGAAGGTCATGCTTCCAAGTCTCTATGGAATCAGTGATGAAGCAAATAACTGCTGACAGTGGAACAGGGCTGATTTAGCTGAGGTATGTACTGGCTTCTCCCAGTTGCCTTCTTCTTCATGCCCAGAAATAGCTTCCAGGAGAGTCCACTCCATAATTTTTCAAGGTACTCAAGTGAGGTTGACTCATCTGTAATTTCCCAAATCTCTTTTTTTCCATTTTTGTAGATGGCTGTAATATTTGCCCTTTTCCAGCCAGCTGGGACTTCCCCCAAACTCCATGAACTGTCAAAGATGTTGTAGTGTGCCTCTGCAATGACATTGGCAAGCCCTCCCAGCAGCTTTGGATGCATTCTGCCATGTCCCATTGACTTGTGTATGTCCCACTTGTACAGGTGGTCCCAAACACTCCTGAGCTCCTTTGCTCTCCTTGGAAACCTTTCCAACATATCCTGTGAAGCTGAAATAGGAGTAAACTCATGTACGACCATATTCATATATTATATAGAAATGTGAGACCACTAATAGAAACATGAGGGAACAAACCTGTCAACTTTGATTCAAGTGAAAACTGGTGCAGCACCCAGGGACCAACCAAGTGGTGAGGCAGGCTAAGAAATGAACCAGAAGAGCTGTGGTAATCCTCAGCCAAAACAAAGAAACTATAAGGCAACTAGCCAAAAGAAGAAGAAACAAAAAAACAGTGTTAAAACATGTCTCACTGGACATTTGGGCATCCTCACCTACGGCAACAGGGTTTCTTAATGTTATGTGGTCATTGCTCAAAATTGTTCAAAATTGTAGAGAATTGTAATAAAGCGTTTTTTTTCACAAAGTTCATGCTTATGAATGCTCACAGTTTACAACACAACAGATGTTTAACAATTTGACAAGTCAGCTGGAGGACCTGAAGGCAAGACTGAAGCAATGCTTGCTGCAGAGACAACACAATCATCTTGGAGGGCACAGCCAACTTGGATGCCTGGCAGAAGGAAAAACCCAGCAACCTCACTATCTAAGTGAGAGCAATGGGAAACAGGGATATATGCTGGGGTCTGCCAAGGTGCTGCTGAAGGGAATTCTCCACTCACAGTAGATTATTTTTAGGGCACTGCTGCCTAATGTGCATGGAGGTATCTGATAAAATGAGAGCTCTATTAAATACCTGATAAGCACAAAGATATCTTTCAGCAGGGTTCTGTTTCATGATAGACACAGGGGTGTAATTGCTCAGATACCATCAACATGATAAAAAGGAGGAAACCTGAATGGACAAGTAGAAATGACATTTTAGTGGTGCTGCTCCCAGGTATGCTGTAAGCCTTACAGAGTAAATTCCAGTCTCTGTGTGAATATGTAGCAAAGTACACAGATTAACAATGATTACTGTCTATATTGATCTTCAATGCCATATTGTGCTCCATGGGGATAAGAAGGGCTGCTCCAGTGCCCTTGTTTTCCCATGGCTACATGCAGAACTACTCCTGTTCTGCCAGGTCTGAAAGTGTCTGACTTTCAAGAACACTTAGTATATTCACCAAGGATAATTCATGTGACTCCTCAGACTAAAAGACTTGTAAAAATGTGTGTTGTGCAGGAGGAAACTTCAGGAATGAGTTGGAATTGGTACCTAGTTCTCAGCAGTAAAGCATTACCACATCAGGTCTATGAGAGCTCCTATCTGGCTTGGTGCTGGTGCAGAATATGCATTGCAGAACACACTGTGGAAGGTAAGCACTTCTTGTTAAAATAATTCAACACACAAAAAATGTTACAAAAGCCTAACTAGAAATGTAATCATACTCACATTTTGCTCTTTTTTATTTTTCTTTAAACAGGCAGTGGCATATAAGGCATTTCCCTATTTATTTAAATAAAACCTTCACCTTTTCTCAAATAGTTATTTCAGATTTTTATTACCATTAATTATGTGTATTACAATAGCAGCCAGAAGCTTCCAAATTAGTGCCCAATGCACAGGTCCCTGTTGTACAAATAGATGTTAAATCCACTCCCAGCTCCAAACTGATTACAAATGAAATCATGAGGATAAAGAAGTCCCTTTGGGATCCTTGTCTAAGGAGACCCAGGCAGAGACCCAGGGAACATGCAGCATGCTAATGGCTGTGATATTGTTTTTTAATTTTGAAAAAGACGCTGGAGGAAGAAAAAGAACTAGGTCTGTTAGTGCATCATGTTTCCCATATGGGACTCATTTCTTCATGTTTGCTGATGATCCTAGTTTCAGTCCTTGCTTAGTAAGAATCTGAAATTCAACAAGTGAAAAATGTGTCCTCACTGAAGACACATAGTAAATTCCCATTGTCTCCCTTCAAACCAGGATTTTGAGCCTGCTCTCCGGTGGCAGTTACAAACCAAGGGAAGAAAGAAGCTGCAGAAGGAGAAGAAGACAGACCTGGGTAATTTACCCAGAGATGAGTGGAAGAATTCAGTCCTGCCTGCCCTGTGAATGGGGCTGGCTGGATGCCTTCCAGCAGGACTGATGTCTTGGAGAATGCTTTCCAGAAAAAAGCAACTGAAATTAAGATGAACTAGGAAAATATCTATACCACCTTGCCTGAAGGTGATGGTAGTTCTGCTTCCTTGTCCCTATTGTACCAGTGCCTAGGGGATACAGAACTACTCCAGAAGAGACTAGAAAGAGGTTGTAAAAGATCCAGCAGGAAAGACAAAAGAATACCACAGACAAGAGAGCCTCAGTCACACACCTTCAGAGAGGCAGAAGTAGCTGGGGCCATCACTGAATGGGACATTCTACCTGCCTGTCTGAGTCTAGGCTAGGGTGATCTAGTTTTTCAAAGGCCACATAGAGGTGGAAGTGACTGGCTGTTCATTTTCCATTTTTACCAGTCACCCAAGAGACAGTCTTGAACATTTGTACTGAACTTTACATCCCAGATATACAAACAATGCAGAATTATTATCCGGAGAGGTGAAGGTGGCTAAGCCCATCCTTTTGTTTTATGCATGAGAAGCTCATTGTGACACAGTGATCACACTGCCAGCTTTGTAGGTGCTCTTTCCCCACAGAGAAGTACTTCTGCAAACAGCAGCTATGCAGTAAACCCCTCAGCTTTAAAATCTTTCTGGGGAGAATCCCTCCCAACCAGAGACCTTTTCCATCAGCAAAGCCAAAACTACACTAGGAGATCCCTTTGCTGTCTGGCAGGAAACAGAGCACTTGCCCTCCTGAAGGCTCCAGCTGCAGATAGATTCCTGCAGCACTTACATCTGCAGGAGAATGTCAGAAAATTATCCCTTGTCAGGAAATCATTAAAAATATTATCTTTTTTTTTGAGAGATCCTTAAGACTCTGTTCCCTTCATTTTTCTCTCCACAGTAGCTACTGGAGAAGGCTGTAGGATATTGCACATGAACCAAAGCCAGCCAAGTAGCCAAGATTCCCTTCTAAATACAACTATTATTATTCTTTAATGCCAAACCTTTGGTCCCATTGCTCATCAGCTCCCAGTGTGACAGAGGCTACTCTCTGACTTCAGCTTACACAGGCCAGGTTCTGGAAATAGCTTCATGCTACCTAAAGTAAATCTCTGCCTATAAATGAAAATAGCAAAGGGAATGACAAAATTGTTTGGGCAGATAAAAGAACAAGTGCTTGACCCTGACCAAATTCTCCATCTTTGGGTAATCCCTCCCTCTCCTGTAACTCAGGAAATATGCACAGCTGGTAGTCACAGACTCTTTCTCCACCTGCTAGCAGCTCTTTGTCTTAAACTATAGTGACGTTATTCCTGCAGCAGTGTACCAGGCACACATCACTCTCATCTCCAGAGGTTTGAACTCCTCTGGAGAGGTGCAGTAAGGCAGAGGTGAATCAGGGTCACCATGAATGCTCTTTGCTCGAGATTAATCTGACATGCTTTTAAAGCATATCATCTGTATTTTGCATGCTATCATCTGCCTGTGGCAGCATTACACACACACAAGTCAATAAGGGCAGCCCAGGACCTTGGCTCTGGTGCTGATTGCTGATTTGGGACTGGAGTGTCTGCTTCCTTGGGAAAAGATGGGAAGGGATGATGCCATCTGCCACATCACCGCAGGGAGGCAAAGGCTGCAGCAGCACCATGGCTTCCTTCCACCTCCAAGACCCAGCAAAATGGGTACAGCTTAGTTGCAAAAAAGAAACCCTGAGGCAGAATTCAGGGGCCCCCATGAATCCAGTCCGTGGCCACATCGTCCCCTCTCCAGGAGCACCCTGCACACCTGGCCAGCAGTGCTCTCCGCCTCAGAGAGTCCCCAGATCAACAGATCTCAGTTCCCTTTTGCCACTTGCCAGGGAGAGGTGGCAGGGAATGGGGGGCAGGCAGGGAGCCCATCTCCCTCTGGGGGAGAGGAGAAAGCCCTGCTGCTGCTTCTGCAACAGGGGCAGCGTGCCCGGCTTCACGCGTGCGCCCATCCCCGTCGGCCACCTCCACCCAGAGCACCACCACCACCACCACCACTGACATGTGCGCCGTGAGGGTCCTTCCAGCTGTCAAAGTTCCCAGGAGACACCAGGGGCAGCAACAGTCTCCCAGTCTGTCGTGACACCCAGGATTTTGGCAGCACGGCAGCAGCCTCGTCGGGGGCTGTGTGCCGGTGCCCTGGCCCACAGCGAGGATACCGTGCCCCCTCAGTTCAACACCTTCTCCGAGAAGTGTCCCAGCTTCCCTTCCTCCTGCACGGGCTGGAAGGCTTGTCCACCACAGGAGGGGCCCCGCTCCTGGCCCAGGGCTCCACCAAGCCATCGTGGCCCCCCGCTCCCCGGGGCCGGGCGGGCGCCCTGCAGCTCTGCACACTTCTCCTTGTAGTGCTGGGCATTGCCGGCAAAAGTCTCGCAGCGGCTGAGGTTCTCCTCCTGCACGGGGCTGCCCACGTTCTCCTCGCTCAGCCCCGAGGCCGTCGCCCCCTCCTGAGAGTTTTGGCTAAGGTAGACAACAATGATGTCGCCCTTGAAATTCATCACTTGTCCACTTGAAATAAAGGTGGAGTTGCTGTTTCCAGTCACATTTCCTAAGGAAGGAGGGGGGAGAAAAGAAGACATGATTAATATTTTCCCCTCACAAGGTGGACACTTAGTGCAGTGAACCTAATCTGCTGTGGTGGCTTTGTTCTTGTTCCATTATTTTTTCCCCCGTGACATGAGGATGCTTTTATAATCAATGCCTTCCACTGAACCTCTTCATTATTTCCATTTTTGTCTTGTCAGGACAAAGTCTGTCATACGCAAGGAGCCTGTCTAGAAGGGCTGGGAATTTTTTCCCTCTGAGCTGTGATCTGGGAAGCCAGAGAGAGGGCTGATGATTTCATGTTCCCTGTGCTGCCTGATGCACAAAGCTGTGTCCAATCTGCCTCTGCCAGCAGTTTGTGAGGAAATGCTAATTATTTCTGATTATGAGATTTATTTTTTCTTAGAGTCCCAGAAATCCCACTGTTGACCAAAGGGGCAATAAACCCCCAGTCAATCCTACCATTTGGGTTAGACAGCAGGATTACTAAATAAATACTGAAAGACTTAACATCCGATCACAGAGTCACACAGTGTCCAAACAGCACAGAGTTTATACAATTATGTTATGTAGTCCAGATCCTCCATGTAGGTACACTCTGGCACTCACCTAGCCCCTGCACGGATTTAGCTGGATATAGATTGACACAGTTGAAGAGACAGAGTCTACATTACAGCAACTTAACAGAGTTACGGTTTCAGTCAGTCTGCCTGAGGTTAGAGATTTTTCAGCATAAATGCAATCTTTCTGCTATTCATGGACTGGGCTGCAGACCTAAGTGACAGCAGGACCAAGCTCTGGGAATTAATAAACTTCCCTCAGAGCAGAAAGAAAATAACTGAGAACAAACTTCGAACATCAAACTAACAAGCTTGCCAAAGTCTGAAAATTAAACAAACTGAAGAAACCAAGTAAATAAAATTTTCCTAGCCTGTGAACACCCTTACTAAAAAGTGTTTTTCCTGCTGTTCTTCACTTCATCATTACTTGCAAATTACTGATTTGACTCCTTTTAGCTATTTTGTGCCTTTCTTCATTACATTCCTCCCAGAGAAATGCTGTTTTTCCAGAGGCCACAGGTGATGTTTGCACACCAGCACTGGGCACTAGTCTCCAGCTGTGTGGAGTCAGGATCTTCTCAGAGCTGAGTCTGGGCAGCACTCGAGCGTCTCTCTAATAGGCCCTCCTTAAGCAATCTTATTTATTTCACCTAAACCACTGCATTGCTAGCTCTTTGCTTTCTTTCCAAGTGCTGTTGATTAATATGAGATGTCCATAAGGGTTTTCTCTGCGGGAGTTTTTCCCTGCTGGTTCTTTCCCCTGTGTTCAATTCAGTTTGGCTGTTTGCCATGAACAAAACTCTTGGGCATAATGGCAGTACAAAAATAACTGTTTGTCTTTAAACAGATTGCCTGTCGCTTGCACAGGGTGCTGTGAAGAAAGTTACCAGTACTCAGCACGAGATCAAAAATTTAGAAATATATGTGACAGCGGGGAGGGGAAAAAATTTAGAAATATATGTGACAGAGGGGAGGGCAGATAACACATTTATAATGTTTAGCTGAATGTAGCTGGCAAACCTTCAGTGCTTTCTGAAGACACCATGCCGAAACAAAAGATATTTAAGGCCCAAAGGCACAGAAAATGGACACAAGAGCTTCCTACACTGTGTAAGAAAAGTGCTTCCAACCTGAAAAGTATAAGGGACACATTCAGAGTGAAGGCATTGTTCTCTGAAGTGTTTCAGCCTTTTGATATCTTCAGACTATCTGATATTAATAACAATGACAGATTAATTCTTGTGGTAATTGTTCACTAAGAACTGGAACAATGCAGGCAAATAATTTTCTCTGAGACATTTAATGGCCTCTAGGTGGTGAGAACTGTTTGTCACTGCCAAACCAGGCTGGTTTGGGATCTGGAAGTGAAAGGTCTTGCAAAACCAGATCCAATTATGAGTCAGCTAAGTTTTCCTGCACTCATGCGTTATACTGTAGCCCTGCATATGGCTTGAGGTGGGCCTGAATTAACCCTTCATGTTCTGACTGCCTCCAGGCTTGTGGGTTTTGAAGAACTGCTTGAAGGTTTACCTCTATCTCCAGCAGTGACCCCTGGAAGGGGTACCTGTCCAGAGGTTCACTTTGGTCTTGTAGGATTGTTTCACAGGAGGGACAGAGTTTACCAGTTCTCTTGTAATTTTGAGTGTTAGTGAACCAAGACCAAAACTTCATGAAATTTCCCATGGTCTTTTTCTTCCCATTTTTCATCCACCCTCTTTTGTACCATTCTGTTTTAGCATAACTGCATACAAAGCCTCCTGGCTTCAGTTGCTTTGAAAAGCTTTACAGAAAGTTATTTCACATGCACATTTATTCCATCTGGGCATCTCACAAGGCCTAGCAAAATGACAGATGCTGATGCACCCACACGTGCAGCCCTGGCGTGGCTGGCTGCATCAGTGAGGAACCTATGGCTAAGCCCTGTCCCAGTCCTCATGCAACCAGGCACTGCCAGGGGGGGAGAAATTTCTCTCTGGGCAGAAAAATTACTCTGCCAGCAAGCCAGGTTACCCACAGATCAACTAACCCACACTCTGATACTGCCCACAGCTCTGTCAGTATCTTCCTGTAGTCATGCGTAAAAAGCGGCAAATTAGGAACATGGTATCTGTGCTCAGGTTTCACCAGATGGCACTGTAGCGTGTACATATCCAAAGGCACAGACACAATTAAAATCCCATATAAAGAATTGTGCTGCAGATCTAAGATGGCACTTGCTAGCACAGCGCTTATATACCGTTTGCTCTATTGCTCCTTAATATTTTCTCTTTCTCTTTGTGTCATATTTAGAAAGAAAAGCAGTACCAAATGTAACTTGACTTTCAGTTGTACCTCAAGAGTCCAACAATAATAAAAAAGATAACCTGTATTCTCTTTACTCCTGGTGCATTTTGTACAGACCAGACAGTGAAATTGCGTCAAGATTTCAGGAAACTGTAGCAACAGAAAGTTTCTGTTCTTTAGAAGATGAACACTACACACTTTCAGATTCCCATATGGAATGCATGTTGAGAGAGGAAGGACCTTCAAGAGTGTTGTTTTGGGGCTTTGGCAGACTGACAAGAATGTCTCCATAAAAAATTTTAAGACACGACATGGTTTTAAAGAAGGGCACCAGCTTACGACTGCTGTGGGTATTGCAGTAATACTTGGATGTCCCACTCAACACTAAGGTCTCATTATGCTTGGCAGTGCACTGATAAAAATAAAAATAGAGCATCCAACTTTATGAGATTATAATCTAAAATGACTAATAATATATGATAGGCAGATTGCAGACTTTTGGTCTGAAAAAAAGCCAGGGGAAAGGGAAGTTTTATCCAGAGAAGGCGTGTAACTTCCCTTCTGCTGGTTTTGCTTCAGTGATGTTTTTCCATTTTCATTTGACATTTTGGCTATATTTTCCTCAATTATTAAATTGGTAGACAATTAGTAAATTAATCAATGTTTCAGAGCTATTTAGGGAACAAAGCATATGGGTATGGAGAAACAGTGTCTGTATGAAACTATTTTATGTGAACACTTATATCCCAGCAAATAAAACCAAAGAGAAAGAGCTATAAGCAGAAAATTACAGATAATCTTTTAGACCCAGTTGCAGCCACCAGCTTACAGCTCCAGCTGGAGTTTCACTGACCACTGTATTAATGTAACTGGACTTAAATCTAATGGCAAAAATATGTGTGCACACTGGTGAGTGAAAAGTATCTGCTTGATCATTATGCATTCTTCTTTAGCTCAGCCTCTAGGTCCCTAAATTGTGTTCTTTCTAATTTTCTCCAATACACACACCTGCTAACAGAACTGTCAGGCCTCTGCAGCAACAGCCAGAAGGAGCATTCTGCATTGCTGATTAGATCAGGGTGGGACAATGGTCTCTTGCTGGGCTGGTTCTTGCAGAATTCAACACAAACCAAATGGCTTTACAATTCCAGATTTTTTTTCAGACTAGCTTCTGGGCAATTAAGTGAAAAAGCATAATTTTCTCCTCCTAAATCAGATCCTCTGAATACTGAATACTACTGAGCTAGCAAAGAGAACAATCCTATACAGCTCTGTATGGATGAAGCCTAATGGGCTTACCAGATGCTGGAGGGAGGTCTGAAGTGCTGCTGTTTGTCCCTGAAGTGCTTCCGTGTGTCCCTGAAGTGCTTCTGTTTGTGTTCTGGTACTTCATGTTGGTACTATCTGAAGGTACATCCTCCACACCAAGATCATTTGTTAGAGTGCTCTGACCAGCAGAGAGAAAATTCAAACCACAGGTGCACTGGGTACAGGAACCAGTTTCTGGGGAGGTGGAGGTGCTGTCAGCCGCAGCACAGCAGGGTTTGCTACACTTTTGGGGAGATTCTCTGTACAAAATGCCACACCTCACACAGATCTTCTCTGAGTCACAGTTTGTTGCAAAATGTTCTGTGTCTTTGTTGCCTGTTTCCTTGGGGCAACTGTGGGCACGTTGGCATGATTTCTGTAGAAGTTGGTCCATGGCAATGTGTGCCCCATTTGTGTTGGAAGGATGGTGAAAGCCTTGAGAGACTGATACATCCTCTGTGCTCCCAATACCTGAAAAGTACTGGTTCAAGCTGTCATTCTCCCCTGCCTCCATTGGTTCTGAAAATGATGACACGGTTTTACTGGCAGTCTGACTTAGTAAAGATAAATAATCAGTGTTATTAAGATCCTTATCCATGTATTCATCTTCCGTGGGAACTGGTGGGAATTGGTAATTATCAGTCTCGGTTACCACAGAAAACTCTCCTGACTCACAAGGCTCTGTGCTGGGGCTCTCATTCCTGCAAGGAGTTTGACCAGAGGTGCAGCACGAGTTTCCAGGGACAGGACAGCCCGAGGGGACCAGGAGACACGTGTCTTCAGCCCTCTGGGGGACAGCAGCATTTGTGATGTTCACAGAAACAAACGCATCTCTGGGGGGTTCCTGAAAGAAATTAAAAGCAAGAACATCTTTAACAAATAGATCTACATGAAGTTATTTTTCAGACAAAGAAGGAAAAGGCAGATCATGGTCCTTCCTCTGTATGGAGCTGCTGAGGTTGAGCAGTGCTGCTGTATTTGAGTGTTGATGTGTAATTCTACTCTGCTGTGAAACTGTGACTGGTGATGCTGGGCTCAGCAGGTGTTCAGAACAAAATCTGGTGGCCTGGGGAACAATAACATTTAATCTTGTGAGACAACTATTCCTGTTTTTTCCGAGGGCACTTAAGAAGAGTTAATAAACCTAGAAGAGTTGCTGGATTCTGCTGTTCCTTATGGACCATTAGTAAGACACACCTCAGTGCTTATTAGGTTTTGTAAACCCTCCCATGTGTCTGAAGGGCTATTGATCTGTGAAGGCCTTACTGGGGGCTGAATTTTTAATATCAGCAATGACTGAAGAAAAAACCTGGGTTGATTCATAAGTTCTGAGACAAGCTAGAAGAAAACACAAGGAAGGTTGTATTAATCTGAAAGGTTAGGACAACAAATGCAAAGGCACATGACATCCTGTTGTCACAGTACTTGACAAAGTAAAGCTACATTTTTGGTAGCAGCTCCAAAAAAAAGGGTTGGGAAATACTTCAGGGGTTTTCTTCAGTTTGTACAAGTTGTGCTTTAAAGATGGGTGTTTGGGAACAGATACCTTTAATTTCTAGCATCTGTTCAGATCTTCCAGGACAGAAAAGAGAGTGTATGTGCTGCAAGCCACTAATTGCTGTTGATTCACTCCTCTGTCCCAGAGGATCTGAGCAGCTGCCAAGACAGGAGGTTGCATGAAGACTTATGAGACAAAAGAGGAACTGCCTGCTCAGAAAGGTGGGTTTTTTGGTATGTCTGTTTTTTCTTTCAAGCAATGAAATTTGATTCTTTCAACAGCTAAGCTCATCACAGCTCCTAGAAGGGGTAGTGGGACACCTGGGACACCTCAGTCCACATCCAAGGTGTTAAGCAGGCTGTGCACATGAACTTGAACCAGTGCCACCATCTGTTCCAAGCATGAGGCTGGTGTTCTCCCAGAGCAAAAGCTCTTATTTATTTCATCGGAATGCACAAGCAGGATTTCTGAGTCCCCAGAATTAAGAAGCCAAACAGTTTCTTTAGCTGATGGCTTTGTGTTTAATGCCTTGCATGCCTGGCATTTTTGGCATGACCCAAATCCAGGTTTCTTCCCTGTGAGCACTCTTGTGTGTAACAAGGGACCAACTCAGCTGAAGCTTTTCCTGCACTTAAGACTTAGAAAGGCTCTCTCCTAGGTAGTCTCAGGTGTTCAGCAACCAGTGGGTTCATGATTAACTTTCTTGTCGTAAATATTAAATGATCACAAGACCTGTTAAAAGTGGCTAAAACCAGAGAGCAGGTTCAGAAGCTATTTGTGAATGGTGATTTCACATGCCTCACATTTACAGAAAACCAGACTGAAAAAGCCAAAGCTGCGAGCAATTTTTGAGGAACTCAGAATTTGTTTTCTAGCCAAAGATTACCATGGAGTCTGCTTCAGAAGGGGTGTCAGGAATGCCATGAGGAAAACACAAAACAAAAGACAAAAAACCACAAAAAAGAAGAGAAAATGCTACCATCTTTGACTTTACCTTTGTTCCTTTTATTTGGCTGCACACTTCATTAGCCCAGTTCTGTAGATCTGCTGTAGGGAAAACAAAAGAGTAGCTGTAACATATAGCAGGCACTTAAGTTAACCACAGACCTAAACATCCACAGTCATTCACAACCCACAATATCATATTAAATAAAACCAGCAAGCCTGTTTTTACTGCCTGTTCAAGTGTCCCAGCATTGGTCTAGCTGAGGATTCATTGTAACTGGAACAGGGATATATTTCTGTGGAACAAATGTTTCCAAGCTCCTAAAATAGAGCACTGTTAAACTGTGTTCCACATCAAATGGGGTTTCTTTCCTGGTCATATGTCACACCAAGCTATGACTGGCCCAACAACGACCTGCTCACAGCAGAAATGGTCTATTTCAAGAGAAGTCACATGGATGGCCCAAAGGCCCTTCCAGACAGGAGTGAGAAGAGGGTAAGCCACTGCAACCACAGGACGGCAGGCTCAAATACAGCATGTTCTACTTAATCAGGGTATGCTTAATGGGTATATTCATTCCAATTTCTTTGGAGTATCTCCCAAGGAAAAGCTTTAAATCCAACATGCTTTAGGGTAACAACTGACACAGTGAGCAATTCTTGGTTTGCATTTATAAATTCAGGAGACTTTGCAGGGCTCAAGTCCCATTTACATTTGAAGTTTACGATGGTTTTTCATGGCTGAAGATAGATCAGCTGTGTAGCCACTGTCAGTTCCCAGCAATGACTCTGTTGCTCTGATGTTGATTTACCACCAGTACCCACACCAAGCAGGAATGGCTTCTTCCTGAGCCTGCAATTCTCCACGGCTTGGGTGAGCAGGACTCCCCATGCTAAGGCAGTGAGGGACTGTCACTGCAGAGCAGCAGGGCAATAGAAAAGTCAAAGAAATTGCATTCCCCCCTAACCTGCTCTGCGTTGCAAGTATTTGGTTTGCGAGCAGAGTCACCATTTCCTCCAGCCCATCCCAGAAATTCCAGATTTAGCATAACCCATGTTTAGTGTGGCAGAGGCAGCCTATTTCTAAAACACAGGCTGAAATATACTTTACAAGAAGTGAGTTCTGTCTTCCTTTCCACTGCTTCCAAAACTTTGCATAAATTGTTAGCACTTGGGAAAGGAAATGATGGAAAAAGCTTTCCATGTTTAGGGGAAAAAAAAAATTAAAAATCAACAGAACAATAGAGGTATGCCCTAAAGAGACCCAGGGCTTAAAAGAGAGTGGAAGAATGTGAAGGTATTTCCATTTAATTAAAAAGAAACTCAGTATTCCACTGTTATCCAGTATGCCTTTGGCTAGAATTTTTCTATTTTTCTGCTTTAACTATTCATTCTATTTCCTTCTAATATTTCTTCAATACCTCATCAGAACTTATTCTCAAATACACTCAGGCCTTTGTATTGAAATCCATATTTTAACCTGTCTGGATGCAGTTTTTTGGGTGGGAGGGAGAGTAAGGTGAAGAAGACAGGAATTCTATCTGTCCCTGCTTCCCTTCAGCAAGGGGTCAGTTGTGCCAGGTGATGCAGAGCAGCCAGGCTGCTATGAAAGCCCCCAGCACCAGCCCTCCTCCTTCCAACCACAGTAATGTCTGCCCTGAGGATGGTCACTCCATGGGTCAAGTGTAATACACTGTAAATTACTGTCTGCCTAGAGGAAAGTAATTTTTAGCCTGGCTTTGTGCTAGATAAAGCATATCCGTATGGACAGACATAGGGATGGCACAGAACTTCCAGTGTAATTCCTGAGCTTAATCTGTTGGTTACCCATGGAATCAGATTGCACAGAGAACCACAGTTGTCACACTCATGAATACCATTAGCTATGATGTACCTGTCAGCTTTTTTCCCTTCTTCTTGTAGTACACGATGAAGACGACAATGCCAATTAGTGTCACAAAGAACAAGATGACAATCAACACGTATAAGATTCTATTTGTTCCTGCAGGGTGTAAAAAACATAGTACCATCAATACACAGCCTGCACTCAGCAGTATGACAAGCCTTGCTCATTTTACCTGCTTTTCTACAGGAGGGTGTTGTTTTTTCCTTCCTATTTCATCTTTAGTTTCTATAATAAGAACAATAACTCTAACACTCATGCAGTTCTGTGACAAGCAGACACACTGATGGTACCTAGTACCAAGACATCTCTATAAAAACCAGAATCTTGGTGTTACAGAGGAATACTGTCCGGTCAGGCTTCTCTCAATGTTCCCTTGCAAGCTCCCAGCAGACCACAGGGCTGAGCTTGATCTCACTCAGGGGACATATATTTCATAGAGACTATAGAAAAATTTGTCCTTTATCTCAGGTTATGATGGATCACTGCATGCCAAGCAAGCAACCTCCTTGGTACCATATCCACACCGAAGAAGGAATTGGACAGTGGGCAAGAGATATCTGAGAGGGATCAGGCTGAGACTGCTATAAAGTAAGCAAGGAGAGGAGCTGCTAGTCTTTATACATGTAATGTGTGTGTGGAAAGCACATAAAAATGAGCATGCTGTCATGGGTATAACATGGCTGTAACAGAAATGCTGCCATGCAGTTTTAGTGGGAGATGTCAAACTCATCTTAATAGTGGACATAGGCCCTAGAGTCACCAGGTCTATGGTGATTTTTAAAGGTGGGATTTTCCAAGAGCCCTGTCTTGGTCTACAGCTTCTCTCCCTAGTCATCCACAATGAGAATGGATTTAAGCCAGCCCAAACCTCTAGTAATCACATCCCTCCTACTTTCCAACCAGCAATCCATACGAGGACACAAACCATCTTCTGATGGTTCAGGCATCTTCCGTTCTTTACAAACTGCGTCAGATTTGTCAGTCCCAGGCACACTTTCTTCCATTCCTAGAGCTGTACAGCTAAAAAAGAAAGACAAAGAGGATAGGTTCTCTCAAGGAAGCTTGTTGTGCCTCCTACACTTATGCAGAACAGTACTTTCTGTAGTAAAATACAACATTTCTCCACCCCTAAGAACCTCAGATACTTTACGGCTCAGCAGTTCTGTTGTCACTGCTGTCTCTTGTTCTCCTGTAAGAATTCAAGCTTCAGCCTGACAATGCCTTAATCACTGCACAGCCAACGCTGATGCTCCATGTGCTCTACAGGCAGCCTGGGACACCTCACTGAGAAATGCTTTTGCCCAAGCCTTCTGGCTGGTGTGGTCCTTTTACAACACCCAGGGACTTACTTGGTCCAGGATTTACACTCGTCGGTGGATGAGGAGACCTTTGAGAAGTAGCCTCTGGGACATGGTATGCACATTGTGTCCCTGTCTTGTTGCACTGTGTGTAGGAAGGAAAAACATAGATGAGCTTCTGTGGGTTCCTTCCCAGAGAGAGGAAGGTGACCATGCTCCTCATTCTCCCACTCCACTCTCCTCCCACAAACCCCCCAAAAAGCTTTCATAAAGGGTGGGGTCTTAGGTTATATTAGGGCAGCAATGACAGTCCCATGTAAGCCCCAGAAAGTCTCACCTGAGCACTTCTCTACATAGTCAAAATGAGAAATGACCAGGAGCTATTTGTGTTATTTATTGTAAAATAACACAGAGCTGTTACATCCTTCACTTTCTATTTATTCCCTTGTGATGATACTGTGTCAGAGACAGTGATGCTGACTGGTATAGTCACTTCTATGAAGCCACAGTAGACAAAATGCTGTATCAGGATTTGTTAGGCTGGAGAAAAAACACCGTCTTCCAGACACATGAAGCATTTCTTCCTCCATTACTCTATTACTTGCTGCTTTTTTGGGGTTCCCTATGGCTTGTGGAGCTGTTCCCAGTGTTCACTACACCTCTGAACTTAACTGTTTTCCACCCACAAAATACCTGCATCTTGTTTTAATGAGACTTAAGAGTAAATTAAATGTCTGTAATAAATCTTTGCCATCTAAAATAGAATACTTGCTAAAACAGAATACATGAACTGCCTGAAAAGTGTTAATCACTTTTAACTTGTTTGTAACATTAAAAAATGGCAAAGCAAAGTCATTGCACAAAAACAGATTGCAAATCTGACCTCAGAAACAACCTCCAAAAGAGTGCTTCTCTGAATATGGGAGCAACGCATGACCTAGTGACTCACAGACACCTCAGCAAATATTAGAAATGTACTGGACACCTTGCAACTACTTCCAAGTCCATGTGACATCTTGCAGAAGTCACTTGATCCAAGATACTATTTAAACTATGGAGGCAGAAGCCTTCAACATGTTAATAGTCCAGGAGGAACATATGCAGTAGTAATGACTACTAGTAGTAGCAGACATGCATCTTCTATTGACAATTGTCTGAGAGTCTAAAGGACCCCCTCTAACGTCACAATCCGCATGATGCTGGCCTCATCCCGAAGGCCTGAGCTGGACATTTCACTTTGTGCATCCTGTACACTCTGTATCTTACCAGGAGGCTTGACTCCAAGTCCAGGAGCACACATGGTATTCCGCTGACAGCAGTCGCAATCCTCGCTCCAGTGGTAGCCCGTTGTACAAGCACACTGCCGCTGGAACGTGCTGTTCCCTGGGTTCACTTCTCTCAAGGCCTTCCCTAAAAGAGAAAGCAGATGAGAGTAAAAATCTCTCTGATAACAAGCCTCAAGTTTCTGAACCTCCTGTTCTACCTACTTGCTTTGCTTGAATGGCAGATGCAAAACCATTCACGTTAGAGGAAATGGTGCCTTTCAGGAAGCACGGGAGACCCTTGATCAGCACAGGGCTCCTCACCCACTGCACTCCAAAACAATACATTTTCTTGTGGCTTTTGTAGAAAATAAACACAGCATTTGCAAGGGTGAGACAAGCACGCTAGGGGAAGTGAATGCAGAGTGTACTGGGCAAAAGGACAACTTCTAAAATCAGCTCACAGGGGTGAATGGCCCCAGTGAAGATAATCACTATCAGCAGCACAGGGACTGCAGTCATGGTGCTCTGCGTAGCACAGGATCTCTGCTGTCTGGGGATCTCTCTCTCTGCCAGGCTCCTCTGCAAGCTCAGCTTCTGTGTTGGGCACCTGAACAAAGCAACTTCCCTAGATTCACTTTCCCATCTTCATGCTTCACTAATTTGGATTAAAAGGTTCTCCAGTATGAACAGCTCACCTTGATCACATATTTTATGTAGCAAGCATTTATCTTCTTCATTCCAGACATCCATATACTCGTTTGGGCCACATGGTTGGCACACGCTATCAGAAGTAGCAGTGCATCTAGCAGACAAATATTTCCCTGTGATTGAGAAAAGGAAAAGTAGATCATCTGGAAGCTGCAGAGCAGCTGTCTAAGAAGGTTAGAGAAAAATAAGAGATAAGTCCTAACACTGCTGTGGACAGTCATTTCTTCCTGCACCTTTTTAGTTTGTCAATCTAGCCCCCATTTAGTGTGGCACTGAAACATCTGTGAAGTGGATGGCCTGGGAGCAGAAGAATCAAGCTGCTTTCTGTCTCCCACAGTGATTAAGTGCTATCCCAACAAAACAGCTGCTGTGGCCTTTGCTGAGGCCAGCAGGACCATTCCTGCCCCAGGAAGGCACTCGTAAGCCTGAGATCAGGCACCTGCAGGGCACGTGCCAATCCATCAGCAGTCACGAGAGCTGACTGCCCCACTAGCAACCTGCAAAGCAGCTCCTAAGGAGCCTCTCAGCCCCTCAGCCCAGTCAGTGCTCACATACCTGGCTCACACTTCCTGCAGCACCGTCCAGAGTACTCATAGTGTTGTTCGCTCTCACACGGCGGAGTGATTTGTAGTGACAGCTGGAGCAGGGGAGGAAGGAGAGGACATGAGAACCAATACACCTGGAGAGCTTCAGACCTACCCAGTCCCAGTGCTGGCACAGAGAAGGAAGACTTTCCGTCTGTACAGCACAGTGGATAGCCAAGCAATAAAACTTACCCAACATTTGTGATTTCACAGGTGCTTTGTAGACATGCTAATGGTATGTACTTGGTGCTGTACACACAGGGACTTTTAACAGAGCCAGGTGACAAATAAATAATCCATCTTGCAATTTGTCATGAACTTTTGGCCTGCTACATAACCTTTCCTTACAGTACTCTTTTATTTTAAATCTATGACTTTAAAACAATTGTAAAGACAAAAAAAGGTATAGAGATACCTCTGTAGTCTCTTCCAAAGAAATTATGTCAGATCAAGACCTGGGAAACTGCCAGTTTTAATGTAGAGTGTTAAGCAAACAAGCAAAGTGAATGATTTATGTTCCTGAAAAAGAAGAAGTTCCCAGCTTCCCACTGGGATACAAGATACTTCTGGCTCGTCCTATAAAATACTGGCCTTAAATTTTGCAGCTTTTTATGGCTCCCACTGTGTCCTGCAGAGGTGGTCTCATAGAACTGAGGCGGCCATCCAGAAAGGTAATGCAATTAAGCCAACAGCTTTTTTTGTCTCGAAAAAGCCAAAACAAAACCAAACCAACACAAACCACCCCCTCTCCCCACCACTCACCTGAAATGTGTACATGACAGGGCATCTGCAAAGTGGGCAGCAGAGCTGCCTCTGGCCTCATGGGTCTTTGCATCCCTTCCCAACTCTCAGTTGCCTGTACACACAGTGGTCCCACTCAGAGCCCAGGCTTCAGGGCATGGCTTGTGCTGGGGATACTGGCCAGACAAGCATTGTGCCCAGCCTTTCACTGACCCTGCTTTGGCAGACCAGAGTCCTCTGAGGCAAACTCAACACCTCACAACCAGTTGTGGATCTTGAAATTAGGTAAGGTGATTCAAAATCGAGCCCATAGCAAGGAATTCTTCACTCTTGGACACAGCCCTGTAAACTGCATTTACTTGGACAAAGCTGCAATAAAGCTTCTGCTGCTGGTTAAAGGGAGCTTTTGCTGCCTAATAGCACATGACAACTCTGTGCCTGCTGGTGCTGGTTCCCATTCCTCTGCTTAGAATTTTCCCCTTGTTTCCTCGAAGTTGTTACATCTTCTCTTTTCTCCTTTTCTAGCTTAAGCAACAGCAACGTCTTTAAAAAAAATAGTTTTCCCTAAGCACTTTGCTCTCTTCTAATGCTGGGAAGGGTCTTGTATATTAAAGATGCCCAAAAAGGATTGAAATTCTTTTTTAAACAGCACCTTTTGGCTTGGAGTTTAAGCCACGGGTTGGTGCATGACTTGTGTTTATCAAAACTGTGCTAGCTGTGTCTGGAACAGAAAAAGTAGCACAAGTCAGAGGCCTTGAGTTCTCATATTTTTGCAGAGTATAAACAACTTACAGCCCTTATTTTCACCCTCATAACCATCCTGGGTCAAATTAAGAGTCTAGTCTTCTGTTGTCTCATTGTTTCCCTGTCTCTTTCTCTGCATTTGTTAGCAGTACCTTTCCTGTGATTATATAATGCATTTTTGCAACACTGCATTCCCTGTTTACAGAGCACCTCCAAGGAGGGGCACAGGGTAACAGCCAGTGCTGGTGAGGGAAGAGGCTATCTAGGAAAAGGAAAGCTGGACTAGCCCAGCAGCTGAACAGTGACACAGCTCAATGACCCCTATACTTGAAAGAGCTTGTTTTCTGTAACGCACTTCAGGCTAAAACACTGAGATGGCCAGCAAAGGGTTGAGGTGATGATGTGGAACCAAGCACAAAGAGTGTCTTGAGCAATTAATTCTCTACTCAGCCATCCAGAAAGGTAACAATGGTGGTGAGATGTAAAAGCAGGTCTAGTCATTTGCTTTTTGTTACAGAATATCCTCTTCTTCCTCGTTTGCCCCTGTTTAATAGTTCCTCTTTAGACGAAAAGACTAAAAAAATTACTGAAGTGTCAAACAAGGGCAAAGTCATCCTTTTTACGGAAGGATATGCAAATCTGCTAGAGAGCATTCAGCTACAGAGTCTGGAGTAATTTCTGAGAATCACAATTCAGCCTGAGGAGAAGCAGCAGGGCCCTGGAACCAAGGTGAAGGGAGCAGGCTAACTGCTCAGCCACCTTTTGGACACTGCTTTATACCATCAGGCTTTAAGACACAATGAAGGCTATTGTTTTGGAATAGCTCACAGCTGCATTAACCTATGCTCTGTGTCAATAAGCAGCCTCTTCTGGGTCAGTGTCCTTCCCCTTTTCACACAAGCCAAGGCATTCATAAAGCTGCAATACTCCCTCTTTTGGTTTATGCCCAATGGTGCAAAGACAAGGCTCTCAGCACCCATGGGCTAATCCCCATGTAAGGGTGAGGGATTCTAGTCTGGTATGGATTGGCTGGACCTGCTGAGCATGAAAGCTGGGGCAAGAGTGGACAGGAAGGGAAATCAGAGCAACCTGGAGTTTTCTTATGGTGGGAGCCACACTCAAGACTTTTTGCTTACACAACTCTGTTGATGTCAGGCTATCCCATATTAAACCCTCTGCCAGGCAGACATGTCTGTCTCAAACTGTACATTAACTTCCTTGGGAGGACGAGAAGTACTTGTGCTGCTGCCAGCACGATGACCTGATGCTTCACCATCACCAGCACATTCCTGCCAATGTGTCCTTCTGAGACGGGGAAGTGCAATTCATTTGCAGATGAGGAACTTGTACCAGGAGGCCATCTGGCTTTACAGAGGTGACAGGAAACCAAACCAAGTCTCCCAAGGCTCAAGTTTGCTCCGTAACCCCTGGAACATCCTTCCTCTCCTCGGATGCTGGCCTGTGGGTCTGAGTGATTTGGACACCGCCAAGCTCTTATCTTGAGAGAGAAAGGGCCAACTTCCTCTGAAGTGCTTAAATGAGATAAAACCAGGCTTGGTCATTCCTTAAAAGGTCTCGCTATTGATGAAGCTGCTCATTAAATCCCATCACCATGTGCAAATAAGTGGTTCAGAGAGCTCTAGGTATCCTGTGAAAGTTTAATTTGTCACTTCAAAACAGTGCAAAGCACACAGATTTCCACCAGTTCCTAGAAAACCAGACAGCTTTCTCATTTGATCAATGTCACTTCAGAACAAGTATATCCAACAGGGGAAGAAGACAGGGGGAAGAAGACAAACCTCCTCCAGGCTTGGTAGATTCAGTTTGGTAAAGCACACCAATGCCTGCTTACCTTTAAGCACATGATTACCACAATGGACTTCTCTGGAAAAACAGGCATGCTTACGTCAATGTTTGCAGAAAGATTGTGTTTTGGTGTTGAGCTGCAGGCAGACTTTTCAGCTTTGTGTTTGGGTTTTTTGCTTGCTTATTTGTTGAAAAGGACACTAAGCAAGAGTCTGCTTGTGCTTTTAGGGTTGGAGAACATCGATGACAGCACTACAAAGCACCACGGTGTTACTCACACCTTAACAAAGCACACATGCACACAGGTGAGTCTGAAGGAGAGAACCAGCAGCATTCAGACTCCTGTCCTCAAGCTTAAGGAAAAATTTATTCTTTGTGCCCTTGAGCAATCAGAGAATCAGAAGAAGCTGCATGTCATGGATGCTAAAATTACTTTTCTTGCTCTTCACGTTTCAGAAAAGATAGAGTTGCATGGGCCTCTTTCCTTTAAAAGAAAAAATCTGGAAGAACAAGGTCGGGGGTTTCCACTGTCTTTTTCCCATGACACTTTTGAACAAGAACCTGAGGCCTCAATGAGGATTGCTCATTAGCGATAATCTCGGTTTTGCAAAAATTGAGATGTAGAGAGACAGGTCAAGGGGTAGCTGTCTTTTAAGATGACACCTTCTTGATCAGTGTAGTTGTTTCTGGACAGTATTCAAGTAATCTGTCATCATTTCACTGAGCAAAGCACATTTTTTTTCTCCATTTATTATTACAGCATCAAAGTACCTATGGGAAAGACAACTACGGTCTGTCTTGCCTTGCACACACCACTTCTTTATACTTTGGAGCCCAGGTTTATTCAAACCACTTGCTTTTGACGTCCTTAGACTTGCCTGCTATAAAACTGAAAAAAATCTGTGGATTTGGGGCTTTATTAGCCTTTGTCAACAGGAGTGAGTTTTGAGCAACGCTTCCTGAAGTGAAGTAGCCTCTGCAAGCACAGCTAAAATGGCCTCTGCAGTTTTCTGCTGCTGCTTCTTCAAATGTGAGCCACTGCCTCTCCCCTCACAGGTACCAGCTGTGCCCACACCCTTCCAGCCTCCAACCTGATTTGGGTCAGCAGTATGGCTAACCAGACCCCGGATTTCTGCAGCCCATTGCCAGTTTCAGAGGCTTGCCTAAAAAATTATTTAAGAGTAAAAATAGAATCTGGTTCTTGATGGGCGCTGCCCTGTGGCTGGTGCTCCCAGGCACTCTGTTGAGACACATAATTGTAACAACTCCGGAAAATTTTACAGTTGTGGGTGTACAAGGGGAAAAGAGGAGTCCTGTGTTAAAGGCTTAATCATAATCACGTTGCATGCAACAGTTCCTTCATGGACGGTCTTCACTATTGATAAAAATTAAATCAAAGCAGCACCCAAGTCACAGCTTTGCAATTCCAGTTATTTGCTTGCAGGCCTGTAATTCATCACAAAAATCTTAGATTGTGAATGAAATGCTTTTGGTGATGTCAACTTTCCAGTGACCAGTAAACCACATCACAGAACTACTACCACGTGGTAAAATAGAGCCGGGAAATGGCAACAGCTTAAACTAAATATTATTTCACTTTTAAAAATAGGTCCTTAAAACCCTCCTACAGCCTTAATGCCTGAAGAGGCAAGAAAGAGCGTGAGGGATAAAATCAATAATGAAGAGGTGAAGAGAAAACTGTAACGTGTGGCCAGGACTTGGGCAAATGGTGGCAAAAGCTGTGTCCTGCCTATTCCCCTTG